TCTCTCTCTCTCTCTCTTATTATTTATCCACCCTTTATCGTAATATCCTCTTTCTCTTTGTCCCTCCCACTCAACTTTCTCAACAAATATTCTTTTTTTTATACTTCTTTACTGCTTCTTTCTTATTCCTGTCCCACGCCTTCCGTCTCTTTTTAAGATTCATTTACTGGTAGTCGATTTTCTATCACAGACTTACAGCATTCTCAGACAGCTAGGTAAGTTGATATGATGCGCCCAGAGCAATATCACTTTTCGAACACGTAATTGCTCTAAACAGTCGGCCAGTCTCTACAAAGTACATTCTTGGCGGTGGTAGCCAGTGTGCTGAGACAAGGTGAAAAGGTTCCATCCACGACTATGATATATTTTAGATAGAACCTTTTAACCCTGTACCTAAGGATCTCCCAAACTCATATCCTGTTTACTTCTATATATGTGAGGGGTGAGGGGTGCGAGGGGGAGGAACGGTCGATGGAACAGACGAATCAAACGTATTTGTTTACGAGAAAGCTTTCCTCGAATGACCGCCAACCAAGGCACTCACCAAACTCCTTCACTCCACTTCGTTAACGCCACGTCTTTCTTTCACAGCCCACTTCTTTGCGGGCGTTCCAGCCTCCCTTTTTTCATTTTTTTAACTTCAAAAACAGGAATTGAAGACCTTATCCTCTATTTTTTGGTCGGTTCCGTTTTCTTTTCTGGCATAAGTACAAAGCAATTCAAAAAACCTTCCGCGCAATCGAGCACCACGGCTGCTCATGCACTTTTCACCTTGCCCTCGTTAATAACATTTTGAAAGGGATAAACAGATGCTCGAATTCATTGCGCCAGACTGAAGCAACCTCTCCACATTCATCACTGTAGGAGTCTATCTATCTATTTACCTATCTACCTATCTACCTATCTATCTATCTATCTATCTATCTATCTATCTATCTATCTATCTATCTAAAGTTAAGTTTGTGGATTTTGACTTGATCTAGCAGGACCGATCGCCGAATTGACCTCGAATCATGAAAGCACGGTCAAAGTCATAACCTGCTAAGAACACGTTAAACATCCACTTTCTTTTTTTTCCAGAAGTTTCTTGATATAATAAAATTATATCTAAGTATCATTCAAAGAAAAGCCACATTCTTCATTTTAACATTTTGAGATAGGCTAGGAAACCATAAGACTAACCATGTCACCACTTCAGTGGCCTCCGTGCGATTTTTATAGTAACGTTTATATACAGTTGTGTAAGTGACGCAAATTAACTTCAAAATTTGGTCTCTCTGCACAAAGACGGGGAAACTTGTTTGTGTCTATTCCTATAAAGACATCCTAGCTGTAGGGGGAGCGGGAATGATTTAGATTAAGCGACTACAGATGTGGGAATAATTCTAACACTATAACAACAATCATTTTTGAAAAATTTATAAACTAATGTTCAGAAAAATACAATCAACGATGGATTCGCTGAGTACCTCTTTCACCTTTGTTAAAGGTCGGAAAGTTATCTGTTAACCTATTATTTCTAAACTAGTACCTCACAGTGGGTCCAGAGCTGCGGCTGCTAACATGGCCTCCAAATACGAGAACTTAATAAGAGAATAA